TGGCAGGTTCTTCCTTCAGTTTGCTTTATATAGTTGGTTTTCTACACACCTCCACTTCCGATGTTTCCCCAGCCTGTGATCCAGGATTCAACCCCGCTGTAGAAGGTGCTGTTCAGGGCAGCTAGGCAGACTGGTGAGATGTAACTGGTGAAATTTACTGGTTCAGAGAGTTTTAGTAGTGCAATGTCATTGTTCCATGAAGTTCCATAATTGTACTCAGGGTGAATAGTGATCAATGACACTGTTCGGCTGACTTCATGTGAGTTGGATCCCTCCTGACTCTGTCGACCCAGATATGCTGTTATACCAGTTGGTGACCTGAGAAGAGAGTCAGTAAACAAAAACATTTTATGTTGAAAATAACAAAAAAAATTGCTGTTGTTACAGAGATATCTGCTATAGACTAAATTTATAATAAACAAGAGATTTCTGAACTATGCTCTTATGTAGTTTAACTGGTGTCTTTTGATTAATTTGATTTGTTGCTGAAATGGAGCAACCCTAGTGACAAACTTTGTAGCTTTCTTTCCTTGAAGTTTAATGTGTTTTAACACATAACAATGACTTTAAACAAGAAGTGCATGTCTTTATGTTAAGTGTAATTTTTTTAATGAATTCTTTATTGCAAACACTGTCTTTGTAACTGTTGACAAGATAGATAGATCATTCTGCCTTATCGGTTCTGCCTCATCGATTATCTGGCTGTGATAATTGCTTTCTGTAAAGTTGCTTACCATTCGTTTAAATCATCAGCTGATGATATTTGAATCACACAGAATTATTTCCCTTTGGGATTAAAAAAGTATTTTTAAGTGAACTGAATAAGATATACAACACAGTTTCTGTGCAGCTCAAATATCTTTAGCTATGGCTTTAAACAAAAATGCTTGTCCATTGGTCACTTAGCTGAGAATGACTAAATCCTCTACAAGGTTAGTTGATTTGTGCTTTGTTTTTGCAATAAAACCAACATTAAAAAATCTGAGTAGTTTTAGAGGAAGGCAAATGTTCATCAAACAATTGATCTGGCTGGGAAGTGAGGAACTGTGCATACCCTAGTGGCTTACCCTAAGACGCAATGAGCAGCAGTCAGCACCCACTGGTTGTTGATCAGAGATCCTCCACAGAAGTGAGTAGATGTGTGCAGACTGACCTGCCAGGGCCAGCTGCCTGGAGGAGCTGCCTCTCCTCCAACTATCCTGGTGTTAAGTGATGGTTTACCACATACTAAGAAAAAACAGACCATTCCTCCAATTATCTGACTGCTCTATGAGCCACTAGTTACAACAGCAACAACAGGTTTGACTTACCTGAGAGCTGTGAGTCACTCTCTGAAAAGAATAAATAAACAGTTATTTTCCTAGTGCTACAGGTATTTAAAAAACTAGATAAATAAATAGACAAACACAAATAGAGTTTCTTATTATTAATGAATCAGTGAATTAAAAGTAACAGAATTCACACTCCTAGGTTCATCCGGGTACCTAGCCGTGCATGGCCTGTTAGATTCCATATCCTTTTCCCATTATATTGGGTTACATCAGATTTTATTTAGGGTCCATCCGAATCAAACTCCACAAGTCTACTTTGTTCTTCAATCTCATTTAAAAATGCCTGCAGTAGCCATGTTTATCTCTTTAAATAGTTATAAGCAAGAATAAAGATCAAATCCAGGTATCAGACAATTCAGGAAGGAGACATATTTGTTAGGATCCAGAGGCTTGCCCACCAGAGGGCGCCAAGGATCCCTTCCTGATTGTTTGTACTTCTGTTGGGATCTGGGGTGCTGTCTACCATCCTCCACCAGAGGGCGTACTGGATCTCCTGAAGCTGGAGCTGACTTCACCAGCTGCTTCTCATCTGCTCATCAGGAGACCAGTACTTAAGTGGGCTGTGGACAACACTCCAGTACCAGAGTGTTTTGCCAGTTATGGTTAGCAAGCCTGAGCCAAACTGCCTGCCTGAATCTAGACTCCCTGATAACCTGAACCTGAACATAACCTGTTTTTGTCCTCTCTGCTTCTAGGAAGAACCTGTCTGAAACCTGAAACTTTGGAAGAGTTTCTCTGTCTGAAACCAGTCTGTCTGATTACTGAAGGACCCTGGAGATCAGAAACTCTGGAAGAGTTTCTCTGTTTGAAACCAGTCTGTCTGATCACGGAGGAACCCTGGAGAATCAAACCTGTCAGTCTTCAGCCTGC